AGTATCGCAAGAAACGATATTTTAAATCGATATCTTAATTTTTCAACCACAAAAATCGATTCCTTGACTCAAATTACCTATGAAAACACGTATGGTACGTGTCAGTTGTGTCTTTTCTATCATCCAGAAATTATCTTAGAAAAAAAACACGGTAAAAACGAAAATTTGAGATTTTGGAAGTTCGAACCTCATGTTTTCGATGAAAATGTTGTCCTATGAAGCCAGGATTTTTTCCTCAAGTCATTTGATGCCAAAAGACAACTCACCCTCACTAGATACCCGGCGTCAGATTCCGAAAAAAATGTTTTTTCGACTGATGAGCCATGAAACGCGATCGCTGCGACGCGACGCCGAGAATCCCGGCATTCCGGCCATCATCTAGTACCCAAACTGAAGAATTACGTTGCTTTGAGGGTAAGTGGCTTGTGTATAAAAGTTTATGTGAGCACTAGTTTACTTATGCATTAAAAATTTTGCCTCTGTATCACTAATTAATAGAATTTGATACAGTTAATGTTAAAAATTACCAAATTTTTCTCAGAAATCGGGTGTAAAATCGATATATCGATTAAATACAACGATATATCGTTTTTAAAACCAGTAAAATCGATTCCTCGTGAAAAAATACGTAGGAAAACATTTCCTTGATGATGCAATTGCGTATTTGAGGGCACTTCCACCGACCCGAATGAGAAAAAACCTGATTTTTTAGGCATTTTAAGGATGCAAGTATTCGAAGGGCTTGAGCGCCATGTTCCCGTTGGAATTACGGCTGCGGACAATTTTTCCCGTAATCTACATGCAATTTGGCCACCTTTTTTCTCTATTCGGATTGTATAGCGCTCAAGTCGGGAATTTCGATCACCCCTATTAGCCTTCCACTGCTCAATTGTTTGTTCTGTGGTTGGGAGCGTTTCTACTGGGTTAAAGGTATGCTCCTTCCAATTCAGAGGCGTGATGTTTTTATCTACACGTGCGATGACCTGATGCAGCTTGCATTCTTTGGCTTTGTCAAGAAAGTACTTCCCTAGATTTTGAACTTGCTGATGGTGTCTGCGCATGGCACTTGGGATCCCTCTGCCCCCTTCCGCTCTCGGCAAGTGGAACCTTTCAACACAACTTCTAGGGTGATGGGCACGATACTTCCGGAATTTCCTCCTCGTTGCAATGTCCAGGGTGTTGAGCTCAGTTTTGGATCAATTGAGAATGCCAAATGTGTAGGTCAACAATGAGGTAGCATACGTCTTGATCGCGAGCGCTTTATTACGTGCGGACAATGCAGATTTTAGTATTGACGTGAGTCTTCGCTTATAATCATCAGAAACTTGTTGTTTTGCATCTTTATGCTGGATTCCTCTCGCTTGCATGTACCCGAGGTACTTGTACTGATCATTCTCAAGCATACCTTTTATTTTCCCTTCTTGTCCCGCAGGCTCATAACCTTTGTGAGCTGACCAAACACCTTTGACTATGCTACTTATTTTGCACTTATCGAGCCCGAACTTCATCTAGATGTCACTACTGAATTCTCCTACTGTTTTTAACATCAACTGTAGGTTCTAGTGTGCTACATTGCAATCTCCGTAATTGCACCCCACCCTCAGACTGCCAAGCAACTAAGTCAGTGGACTCAAGGCTAGGTAGAACCACAAGGGACTCAGGGAGTCCCCCTGGAAGATGCCGCGCCTGATGTCAATCGTCCCTATTTTTAGCTGTCGGCCGGGTGTGTTTAGACAGAGCTCGGTCTTCCAGCATCTCATAGTTTGTGCTAAGAACTGTATGAGTTTCGGATTGATACCGTAAATTTCGAGGACCTCTAGCAACCAGAAGTGGGAAATGCTATCAAATGCCTTTTGGTAATCAATATAGGCTGTGAAAAGAGGTGTCTTTGTGTTAATAGCGGTCTTAGTAATTACTGCATCAATTGATCGTTGTTCTTTGCACCCTCTTGAGCCTTTACGACATCCTTTCTGCTCTTCGTCTAGTAACTTATTCTGCTCAAGATGTTTGTAGATCTTCTCTGAAACTACAGACGTTAACAGCTTGTAAACTTGATTATTATTATTTTTATTATTATATAAGTACTTTTCAATCAAAAATACGTTTGTGGAAATAGACTCATTGAAAGACGGACTGTAGCCAAGTCTTTCAAAGCTAGAGCCCTTTAAAATTGATAAAATTTGAGGGTTCATGAACATTTTTAAAAGATGTGTTAGAATCGTTAAAAGGTGTTAAAATCGTAAAAAGTTGTTGAAATCGTAAAAAGTTGTTAAAAATTTAAAAAGATTGTTAAAGTAAAAGAGCATAAACCACCATGTTAGCAGTCGGTCACATAATTAAAAATAAAAATACAGTCACTGCCCTGAGCTTAGGAAAGATCTGGTGATATTACAGGTGTGCAGGATAACAGCTTTCTGGCTTTGGGTGTGAACGATTTCACCTAAGTGGAGCTGCTTCAGATGTCTCAGGGAAGAATGAGGAGTAATCCCCGTGACGGATATTATAAATGGTACAATAATTACTTCCTTGAGCTTCCACAGTTGCTGTATTTCAGTTGCTAAGGGCAGATACTTTTCGATCTCATCTCTATACTTAGCATGTACATTTGGCATCAGCAGGGACTGAGATATCCATTAGGTGAACAATGCCCTGCTTTTTATCTAGAAGGACCATATCTGGCCTATTGTGCGGGATGGTCTTGTCAGTATAGATTGTAAAGTCCCAATATAATTTATAGGCATCATTTTCCAGCACCGACTCAGAATTATATTCATAATACGGAGGCACGCTGTCCAACAGGTTACGATGTAATGAAAACCCTCGGTGGATTATTTTGGCTACTGAGTTATGTCTCCTGGTGTATTCGCGGTACTAGATAGGAGTCTGCAACCTGCTGTGATGTGATCAATCGTTTCAGGACATAAATGACATTTCCTGCACGAGTCATCAACGGTCCCATCTTTAATGACGAACTTCCTATGGTTTCTTGTACAAATGACTTGATCCTGGATGGCGAGTATAAAGCCTTCCGTTTCCGGAAACAACTTCCCGC